GAATTGGAGGTGGTGGTTTGAGCTCCAAGTCTGCATCATCCTCATCCTCCGATTCATGTGACCCACAAAATGTGCTCAGCTTTTGCATCATCTTGGACATCAGCTTGCTTTTCTTCTTCTCATGCTCCTTGAATTTTCTCTGCCTCTTTTCAATCTTTCCTTGCCGGCGACTCTTGTTCTCCAACTTGGTGTTAATGGCCTCTATCATGCCCGTGACTTCTTTTTGCTCTTTGACCAAATCCGCCATGGATGGTGGGGCAGCAGCCCCAGTAGATGTGCCAGCCCCAGGTGGGCCAGTGGGAAGGCCAGCTATAAGCTGCCTAACATGCACATCTACTCCATATATCTGGCTGGACAAGTGGCGCATAGTGTGAGGACCGGACTGTAGTGGTCTCATGGGGTCAAAGGACCCGGATGAAGGTGCAAAGGATCCGGCGGGATAAGTGGTGGCCTCGGAGAACTGCCCAAATGAAGAGGAAGCAACATCAATTCTCCTCTTTTTCTGTTTGTCACTGGGTCCCCTTTTCAGCAAGGGATGGATCATCGGCTTTCCTGGACCTTTCCCAACATCATTGGGGCGTGTAGGCACCCCAGCATCATAGCAAAGTCTAGTGATCAAGGATGGAAAGAACAGGCTCTTAGACCTCCCATGAGTGGCTTCCTCAATTTCTCGGACAATGTGTTCCCCCACATTCACAGGTAGTCCATCCATAATAGCAGCAATTATCAGTGCCCTGTCTGGTGTCACATCAGTGTCATTTGTAGAGGGTGACACTCTTGAACAGACAATGGAGATCCATGTCTTCGCCTCAGCCGTGAAGTCATGAGAATCAACTCCCTTGTGCACTGTCATCCACTTCGGAGTAACCCCATCATGTAGCTTATCTACTAGCCATTGGATTCCTCCTGCTCTGGCTCTGTCTCTGTAGACCTCGTTGTCAGCATTGAGGAGGCCATAAACACTATTTATTATCTCAGGACTGAAGTGGACTTGCACGCACCGCACAGTAGTAACAAAGGCACCTTGGACGTCGGTCGTCAAGGCGTTTGCATAGAATTCCAGAACTATTATGTGGTTGGCGTTATGTGGTTGCTCAGCAAAACAAATCAACTTGCTCTCTATCAAGCGCGCGTAGAAGCCCGGCATTTTAGCTTCAACTTTTTCCAAGTTTATGCCTCTTTCCCGGACGATGGTCTTGGACAAGAGTTCATCGTATCTCCGCTCACATGTTGGAGATAGAAACCGCTCACGATCAAAGGCTTCCTCTTGTCCGGGTCCAAAGACATGTTCTTGCACAATTTCATTATGATCCGGTTCCATTTTAAGCACAAAGAACCTACAAAATAGACCAACAATGATAAAAGCTCATACAGACACATAAAACAATGTATTAAGGCCAAAGAAATGGGCGAAAAAGGTCCAGGGCAGAGCTGTGCGAAGCTACTATTTTTTGCCAATTTGGGGCTGCCAGTAATTGCTCTTCGCCTTCGCGAGCAGATAACCGCGTTCGCGAAGAGCAAAATATTTTTACCCAGACTCAGACCTTCGTGTTCGCGAGCAGACAACCGCGTTCGCGAAGGTCAAATTTTCTGTCCCCCACTGTTATGCCTTCGCGTTCGCAGGAAGACCCACACGTTCGCGAAGGTTATCTTCCTCGCCCAGAACATGTTTTCTCTTAGGCTTTTCTTCAAACAGTTGGGGTGCCCATTTTTCTTTGTTCATTAACAGAAAATTTATGCACAGATCTTACCCAAAATTTTCTTAAAAACAACCACTCACACTCAACCAATCTCACCCAGCAAGCAACAACCAATTTCAAGCATAAATTTTGCAACTTAATACTCAAAATTTGAACCCTAAGGACCAAACAACAATGTGTGCTATTCTATTGTTTCACAATTTACACCAAGAAGGAGACGAAAGATTTGATAGGAGAGTGAAGAAATTACATACCTTAAGAATGGAGATGAAAAATTTCAAGAAACTTGAAGATTTTGGATGAATTGATTTTTGGGGCTTAAGGAGTGTAGGGGACTGTTGTTTGAGCAAAAAGGGGTGTATTTTCTCGTTTCCAGTAGGCTATTGTGTTTTTAACTCACCTGACCCTACGCGTTCGCGTTGTGAGTTCGCGTACGCGAAGGCGTGAATTTCTGGACAAGGTGGCGCGAACGCGGTAACAGTATCAGCGAACGCGAAGGGTTTTACAGTTACTAAACCTCATCGCGAACGCGTTGTGTAACTCCGGCGAATGCGAAGTGTAACTTTTCCTGCACCTTCAACAGTTCTGGCAGCTACTGGTGTCTTGGCCTTCCGGGACACCTCCGACCTGCTCAATCAACTCCAAAAAAATCTAAAACTTGCGCAAGATTAGTCACAAATAATATTCTAAAGCTATTCTAAAAAAGAAAATTTCAAAATTGACTTAAAAAATTTTTGAAAAAACGCATGGGTTGCCTCCCAACCAGGCTCCCGCATTTAACGCGTGGCAGCGAACGCGAAACAACTTTACCAACTTTTCTCGCCACTTGGATGATATGAACTGGCACCTATGCTTGGAATCAAGCGTTTTTGTGACCACAGCGATGGGGGGTGTAAGTCGATGATCAAGCCGCCAAATCCTTGAAATTCTTCATTTTGCAACTTTCTTGGCTCTCATGTGAGAATGTCATTTTGTTTTTCTGTGTTTCCTTCAAACTGATAAAAAATGGTTATATGGTATCGAAGTTTTTTTCCTCCTCGCAAATCCCCCATTGCATTTGTGTTAGTTAACTTTTCCATATCACCACACACAATTCCAATGTTGAAAAATTCTTGGAATGTGATTTCAAACCTCCAACTTGCAATTTTTCTCGGATTTTGACATCCTCTTTTTCCCCCGGATTAGAGTCAATATCAACCACATTTTCATTTACACCGGTTGACTCTAATTCCATTTTTTTCTCGGCATCATTACTACTCATGAAGTCGGTTGGCGGATGTTCAATTCTTGACTCCTCAAAGTAGAGCTCACTTTCTTCCTCGGAATTGGACTCTTCTTGGCTTTCTTCCATACCCTCAAGTTGGTGGGCATAGTGAGCCTCAACCAATATTTTCATTTGATCTTCCAAGGTATGGATATGTTCATCATTGTAAGCCAAGCCTTGTTTCAAGTCCTCGAGGGCAAAGTTGTGCTTCTCCTCATTATCAAGAATGGTCTCCAACATGAGCATCATTTTCTCATTGTCAGCATTTGAGAGTTCTTCTTGGTTTTGATCAAGTGCCAAGGAAGGATTTCCAAGTTCAATCTCCAAGGAAGGTTCTTGGCTATCATTCACTTCCGAGGCTTTTTGAACCCTTAAGGCTTTGATCATTTCATCTATTTGTGAGTGCAACCTTTCAAGTGCCAAGTCGTTTTGAAGACTATTTTCCAAAAGCTCCTCCAAGGCATTTTTCTCCTTGTTTCCTTCTTCAAGTAAACACTCCAACATAAGCTTGAACTCTCCACTTTGGCCATGCTCAACTTCTTCCACTTCCATGGCCCTATAATTTTCATCACAAAAAGTAGAATTATCATAGTGGGGGCTTGGGGAAGGGAAGCACCAATAAGCACAATCATCCCAATGACCATTTTGAAAACCACACTTATCAATAATACTCCACTCATAGGGTTGAGATTGTGCGCACAACACAATCCACCCTCGGGAGAATTTAAACAATTTTGCCACGAGTGTGGTCCTCCACAATAAGGCCAAGGGTCATCAAAGTATGAACAACTACCATCCGACCAATTTTCATTATATGATGCCATTTTTCAAAAATAAGAAAATAAACAAGAACAAACTAGAAAAAATAGACGAAGGTAAGAAAAATAATTACACAAATTTTCACAAGTTTGGGCCAAAGCACTTACGCTTATTTCTCAAACAACCTAAATTACGCCAAATTGTTCCCCGGCAACTGCGCCAATTTTGATGACGTCCAAATCCACTACTAAAAAGTAAATGGACACGGTCACATGCAATATAGTTTACCCAACTATGAGTCGGGGTCGAATCCCACAGAGAACAATATGTAGGCGATTAGGAATGTAAGAGAATTATCACTTATCACGCAATGCCAAACACTAAGAATTTGGTTTTGAAAATGTTTATATCTAAATGCGGTAATGTAAACTAACCTAGAAAGCAAGTAAAATGATCAATGGCTACAAGTATGGTTGCATCGGTAATTACACTCAAGTAACGATCCAATGTATTTCATGATTTTACAAATATGAGCGAGTTTATGTTAATTAGCCACGGGTAATAATTCTTAATTAGCTTCTTCCGAAGACTAAAAAGACTTCCTAATTGAATTATCCCTAGAACAATTAAGAGATTAAGTACTCCCGGATATGGCTACAAGTAGTTCAATCCTATCCCTAGGTAGAATCTATAAACGAGGGTTAACGCCTCAAGTTCTTGTTAATTAATCTTTCCCAACCCCAAATTATCTTTTCCAAAATTAATTCGGAGTTAATGGGCGAGTCCTAGGGTTAGCTAATCCCTTTGGAAACATTAAAGAACAAGAATAATTAAAGTAACAACAACTCACTTCATAAATAAATAAAAATCATTCAATACATAAGCACAACAAGGTATTTAATCCACACTTTAAATATGAGTATTTCCATAAACAAGATTCAAGTGTTGGAAATAAATACTACACACTTAAATATTCAATACAAAGCAAGGAAAGGAAGAAATAAACATAAATAGGTAAGAAATCCTTAACCACAAGCGTGAAATCTTCAAGACCCAAGTGTGTGTGCAAAACCCTAGCTTCAATACTTGTTCTTCTTTAAGTCTAAGAACTGAAAATAAGCCAAAGATATGCCAAAGATCTCTTACAAATGAGCTGATTCGGGTATTAAAGGGTTTGGGGTAAAAAAATGTGAAATTCCAGAACTGCCCAGTTTTCACGCCCAGTTTCTTCATCGCGTTCGCGGTCAAGCCTCCGCGTTCGCGAAGGCTTACTTTCCTCAGTCATCGTATTTGCGTTCACAGCTTCGTGTTCGCGAAGCTTCATGTTCTGCAACTACGCGTTCACATTGTGTACTTCGCGTTCGCGAAGGTCTAGCTGCCTGCTGCTTCGCGTTCGCGTGGTACCTTCGCGTTCGCAAAGAGTAAACCACTGAGCAGTTTTTCATTGTCCATTTTAGCTCCTTTTTGACTTGCTTTTGCTTGGTTTCTTCACCATTACCTCTAAATCACATACAACCTGTAAAAATAGAAGTAAAAGACATTAAATACATAATTTTATCACTCAAACATAGCAAAAGTATAGGTTTAAAGACAAGATAAGTTGGTAAAATACCAACTTATCAGGTATATGCTTTCTTTATTATAAATCTTTTATTAGAGACATTTGAATTTAACTCTACAACTCCAGTTGTTAACCAATTCCGAGCATCAAATACTTTCCTTACGACCCATGAGGCTTGTTCTTGAGTAGGTATGTTATCTAGATCCTTGTTCATTATATAATGTGTATGCACCCACAGTACCTACAACTTTTCTTTCTTCTGAGTTATGGCTCATAGTAGCTTGCTTATAGCTGCTTTGTTCCACAAGAATAGGTTTATTACATTCAAACCTCCTGTAGACTTGGTCTGGCAAACTGTATCCCATGCAACAAGATTTCTCCTGCTATAGTCTTTAGTCCCATGCCACAAGAAGTTCCTACATACTATTGTCACCATGTTCAGAACCTTTTTGGGAAGCAAAAACACTTGTGCCCAGTAGGTTTGCATGTTAAAGAGTACAATCTGGAGGTCCAGCTTTTAACTCTGGCCACTATCTTATCGACTAGGGGCAAACATTCACTTATAGTAAGTTTTCTTATGGATAAGGGTACTCCTAAGTATTTGAAAGGGAGAGTGCCTAGTGTAAAGTGGTAATGTGATAGAATTTACTCCTTTACATGAGTAGAGACCCCTACCAAGTAGATTGAACTTTTTTCCATGTTGTCTTTGAGGCTTGATGCTTCAGAGAACTTGCCAAAGTATTTCATCTTGAGTTGTATTGAGATAAGATCTGCCCTGTAGCACATCAACAGGTCATCTGCAAAGCTGATATGCACAATCTCTTTTTTTACGCACTTTGGATGATTATTGAAGTCTGGATTTAGCTTCAACTGCTTCAAAGCTCTATTTAGGTTCTCCATTAATAACACAAGGAGATTAGGTGACATAGGATCACCTTGCCTCAGACCCTTCTTTGCATCAAATCTGGGAGTCAACCCTCCATTGATTAGCAGGGAATACCTTACAGTACTTACACACTCCATAGTGAGCTTGGCCAGTCTAGTAGGAAACCCAAACTCTAAGAATAATCCTTCTAGGAAACTCCATTCTACAGAATCATATGTTTTCCTAATATCCACTTTGATCAAGCATCTGGGAGATGATGATTTTTGAGAATACCCTTTCTGTAGTTCCCCTACTATTTGATCTACTACTAGTTTCGGTCTTCCTGTCAAGATCTTTCCCATTATTTTGTAGAGGGTTGTATAACAACAATTGGTCTATATTCCTTGACAAAGCATGTATTTGAAGTCTTTGGTACCAGTGTAATAGTAGTACCATTTACTTCTTTTAGTAGTTTCCCAGTTATAAAAAATTCTTGCACTGCATTGATTCCTTCTTCTCCAATAAGTGGCCTGAACTCCTTGAAGAACTCAGTTGAGTATCCATCTATACCGGGTGCTTTTTCCAGAGGTAGGTCTTCTATAACCTGTATGATCTTCTCTCTAGTTACTGGTAGAAGCATCTGTTGTTGGTGAAGGCCTAGTGTTAGGTTAGGGGCCAGTTTTCTACCTATACTCATATCATGTCCAGGCAAAACTAGAGTTGCTTCCCCAAACAATTTTTGAAAGAACCCCAAGAATTCCTTTTGTATGAAAGGTGGGTCTATTAGTCTCATGTTGGCTTCATTGTAGATAGATGATATTTTGTTCCTTGCCTGTCTAGCTTTCAAGTATGAATGGGAATACTTAGAATTTGAGTTTCCATATGCAATCCATGTGGCCCTGGAGTTTTGTCTGAAGACATGCTCTTATACTCTCTCCCATTTTCCTAATTTAATGAGTTGTAGCTTTTCCTCGTCAATCAATTGTGGATTAATACAGTCCCCATTCAGTGCTTCCTTTGTATGCTTCAGTTGTTCCTTGAGTTTTGTTAGCTTGAGATCTATAAATGACATATCTTTATGCATAGCTTTGGTGGCTTCCTCTATTAGCTTCAGCTTCCTCCATATAGTAAACATAGTATATCCCTATATGTCCCGTGCCCAGGTGCTTGCAACTGCTTCTTTGTATCCTTCCTGTTTCAGTAGGACATTGAGTAGTCTATAAGGACTTTTTTCTTTTGTTCTTTTCGTTTCTGTGTTAAGCATTATACGGTCTAATTTGAGGTCTCTGGCACCATGTAGTTAGCCTCAATGTCATTGTAATAGCTGAACCAGTCTGCATTCCCAAATACCAGTTTATGTGACTGTATATTCTCTCACATGCTTCTATTTTGTTTCTCTAGGAGTATTGGCTTCCCTTTTTTGTGAGTTGCCCTACACCAATATCTTGCACACATTGCTGAAAGTCTGCAATCTCGGATTGGTGTACTGGTATACCATTAATCCTGTCATCCATATGTAGTATACTATTAAACTCTCCAATGATGAGCCAAGGTTCATTGGTCGTTGTATTAATCTATATCAGATGATCCCATAAGGCCTTCATGTATGCTATAGTATGCATTCCATAAACAAAAGTAATGCAGCTATTGAATGTTGACTGTCTATCTTTAATTTGACAATGGACTAGCTGAAAGGTGGAGTCTAATGTTGTCATATCTACTGAATTTGATCTCCATCCAATCCATATTCTACCATTATGAGCAGAGTTGTAATTGTTAATGAACTCCCACTCCACACCAAGCTTTCTTTGAATCATAGGAGCCTTAGGCTTTTTGACTCTAGTCTTAAAGCACCAAATTAAATCTATCCTGTTTTTTNCAACCTATAGTGTTTATTACGTGAACCCAATAGCTTTTTCCAAACAGCGCAAAATGTGTTCAAAAAATTCACTAAATATCTATAAATATTTGAATGTAAAGCTAATTACTATTGAAAATTTACTTGAGATCGTTTCAAGAACCCATAAACATTAAATCCTGGATCTGCCTATGATTGTACATTCGGTTTTTCATGTTAACCGTGGCGAATGGATCATTCTTTTCATGCCTGTTTGCATCTTAATATTACTTAATTTTTTTCTTCCTTCATCATACTTGGTGCGATATTGCTCTAATTTTAGATTGGTTTCAAGCATCTTGAACTAATACAGAGTTATCAATTCTCCTTCCATCTCGTTTAATAGTTTTTTTGTTGTTAAAGTTTAAATTTTATTAACCAAGTATCAAATATATACACCACCTTCTCTTTAGACTCTAGAGACAGGTCTTACAAAAATACCCAAGAGAATAGCTACTGACTATCTATTGGCACCATAGTGGCTACTGTAGGTTAACTAGCTATCAGCTATCAATGTATACTACTACTATAGTTACTCCCATTACACAATTAGGTAGGGTAACTGTCTAGTCTTTCTAGTACTTGATTCCACTTATTTCGTCTTTGTCCTGCAATGTGCACTTGTAGGATCATTTCTCTGATTCTGTCACTGCTATATCGAGTGGTTTATTGGAACCTTCTGCTGTTTCTTTCTGCCCAAATATGGTACATTACTGCTGCAAATAGGAACCTCATGATCTCTCCTATTGATTTTATGTTGTTTCTTCTCTGAGATAGCCATACTACTTCATCTTCCCACTGATGTGATAGCCTGTTGATGTTCATCCATTTCAATAGTTTATCCCAGATGTCTTTAGAGTATGAATATTCAAAGAATAGGTGGCTATGTGTCGCAGTTGTTCCTGTAGATCATAAGACACATACATGTGGTACTTGAATTCCCCAGCTTAGTAACCTGTCAGTTGTTGCAAGTCGTTTCTGAACTGCTATCCAATGTATGAAAGAGTGTCTAGGAATTAGTCCTCTACTTATTACCAAGGACCTCCACAACACCTTTTGGTATTGTGGAACACTGGCGGTATTGATGACGTCCAAATCCACTACTAAAAAGTAAATGGACACGGTCGCATGCAATATAATTTACCCAACTATGAGTCGGGGTCGAATCCCACAGAGAACAATATGTAGGCGATAAGGAATGTAAGAGAATTATCACTTATCGTGCAATGCCAAACACTAAGAATTTGGTTTTGAAAATGTTTATATCTAAATGCGGAAAATGTAAACTAACCTAGAAAGCAAGTAAAATGATCAATGGCTACAAGGATGGATGCATCGGGAATTACACTCAAGTAACGATCCAATGTATTTCATGATTTTACAAATATGAGCGAGTTTATGTTAATTAGCCACGGGTAATAATTCTTAATTAGCTTCTTCCGAAGACTAAAAAGACTTCCTAATTGAATTATCCCTAGAACAATTAAGAGATTAAGTACTCCCGGATATGGCTACAAGTAGTTCAATCCTATCCCTAGGTAGAATCTATAAAATGAGGGTTAACGCCTCAAGTTCTTGTTAATTAATCTTTCCCAACCCCAAATTATCTTTTCCAAAATTAATTCGGAGTTAATGGGCGAGTCCTAGGGTTAGCTAATCCCTTTGGAAACATTAAAGAACAAGAATAATTAAAGTAACAACAACTCACTTCATAAATAAATAAAAATCATTCAATACATAAGCACAACAAGGTATTTAATCCACACTTTAAATATGAGTATTTCCATAAACAAGATTCAAGTGTTGGAAATAAATACTACACACTTAAATATTCAATACAAAGCAAGGAAAGGAAGAAATAAACATAAATGGGTAAGAAATCCTTAACCACAAGCTTGAAATCTTCAAGACCCAAGTGTGTGTGCAAAACCCTAGCTTCAATACTTGTTCTTCTTTAAGTCTAAGAACTGAAAATAAGCCAAAGTTATGCCAAAGATCTTACAAATGAGCTGATTCGGGTATTAAAGGGTTTGGGGTAAAAAAATGTGAAATTCCAGAACTGCCCAGTTTTCACGCCCAGTTTCTTCATCGCGTTCGCGTTCAAGCCTCCGCGTTCGCGAAGGCTTACTTTCCTCAGTCATCGCGTTTGCATTCACAGCTTCGCGTTCGCGAAGCTTCATTTTTTGCAACTACGCGTTCGCGTTGTGTACTTCGCGTTCACGAAGGTCTAGCTGCCTGCTGCTTCGCGTTCGCGTGGTACCTTCGCGTTCGCGAAGAGTAAACCACTGGGCAGTTTCTCATTGTCCATTTTAGCTCCTTTTTGACTTTTTTTTGCTTGGTTTCTTCACCATTACCTCTAAATCACATACAACCTGTAAAATAGAAGTAAATGACATTAAATACATAATTTTATCACTCAAACATAGCAAAAGTATAGGTTTAAAGACAAGATAAGTTGGTAAAATACCAACTTATCAGGTATATGCTTTCTTTATTATAAATCTTTTATTAGAGACATTTGAATTTAACTCTGCAACTCCAGTTGTTAACCAATTCCGAGCAGCAAATACTTTCTTTACGACCCATGAGGCTTGTTCTTGAGTAGGTATGTTATCTAGATCCTTGTTCATTATATAATGTGTATGCACCCACAGTACCTACAACTTTTCTTTCTTCTGAGTTATGGCTCATAGTAGCTTGCTTATAGTTGCTTTGTTCCACAAGAATAGGTTTATTACATTCAAACCTCCTGTAGACTTGGTCTGGCAAACTGTATCCCATGCAACAAGATTTCTCCTGCTATAGTCTTTAGTCCCATGCCACAAGAAGTTCCTACATACTATTGTGACCATGTTCAGAACCTTTTTGGGAAGCAAAAACACTTGTGCCCAGTAGGTTTGCATGTTAAAGAGTACAATCTGGAGGTCCAGCTTTTAACTCTGGCCACTATCTTATCGACTAGGGGCAAACATTCACTTATAGTAAGTTTTCTTGTGGATAAGGGTACTCCTAAGTATTTGAAAGGGAGTGTGCCTAGTGTAAAGTGGTAATGTGATAGAATTTACTCCTTTACATGAGTAGAGACCCCTACCAAGTAGATTGAACTTTTTTCCATGTTGTCTTTGAGGCTTGATGCTTCAGAGAACTTGCCAAAGTATTTCATCTTGAGTTGTATTGAGATAAGATCTGCCCTGTAGCACATCAACAGGTCATCTGCAAAGGTGATATGCACAATCTCTTTTTTTACACACTTTGGATGATTTTTGAAGTCTGGATTTAGCTTCAACTGCTTCAAAGCTCTATTTAGGTTCTCCATTACTAACACAAGGAGATGAGGTGACATAGGATCACCTTGCCTCACCCTTCTTTGCATCAAATCTGGGAGTCAACCCTCCATTGATTAGTAGGGAATACCTTACAGTACTTACACACTCCATAGTGAGCTTGGCCAGTCTAGTAGGAAAC